CATGAAGTCACATTAGTTTGTAAAGAGAAAGCATAGGGTTTCAAATTCAAAGTAGCCTTAGAATTCTGCACAGTGAATGCATTTACAGCTTACATTTCTTTTGTGTGTTTAATAACTCTTTGAGGGAATGAAGTCCATAAAATGATTTGGTCCTTTTTGTCAAATAGCTTTTTTTGATTTATATTCTCGAGTTTTCCACTCTAAAATCCACTTATTCCCCTCACGTGTATAGGCCTGTAGGCACAGGCGCATGGACCCACATCTACATGTTAGTCATCTCCTTTCCATTATCTATCAATAGAGCTGATTGGCAGAGAGTGAGTTGTCTGTGGGAAACGACAATATGTTATTTTCCCACAAGGTCGCTGGAAGGGATGAAAGAGTTGTGTGTGTTTGTGTAGGCAGGGGATTATGTGTGTTTGTGTATAATGTGATGCTTTTTTCTCAGCTATCAAAACCTCCCCCATATGCGTGTATGTGTATGATATATGTGTGTCAGCAATTATGTGTATACTTCTGTATCTATGATTTGTTGTATTCCCAAAGCAACATTATGTAAGATTTGGTATTTGGTACCCCCAGTTGCAATCCCACTGTGGTTAAATATGGACAGCTGTACTTTTGTTAAGTTTACATTAAGTTAGGGCGGCTGTGGCTCAGAGGAAGAGCGGGTCGTCCCCTAGACGGAAGGTTGGTGGTTTGATGTCCCTCTTTTTTTTTTTTATACCCCAAATTTCTCCCGATGTTGTGTATTAAACTAACACATTCACACACATGTGTATGAATGAGTTAGTTTCTGTTCAATGGACTTTAGTAGAGTATACAATTCCATTTCTATTTACCATAATTTGCAAAAAGCCAAACATCAAGCAAGTGCAACAACAGCAGACAAAGCAAGGAGTTAACACTACTGACTAATCCAACGGCAATTATTTCACCAAGCTCTTACCAACCACTAAAAGCATTTAGTCTTTCCGGCAGCTTCTCTCTCCTTTGCTTTTCTCAGCTTCCTCCGTCAAAGTCCTCTTAAGTCTCTGAGTCTCTGCTATTAGCTTTGTCTATAGAAGCTGCTGAGCCCTCTTGCATGGCTCCAATTCTGGCATGCCACTGCACCGCTCTCTGTCAGTATTCTTTCCCCTGTCCTAGGCCTGAAAACATACTTTACCAGTGGTCCAAAGCTCCACTTCGGAGTTTGCAGTATAAACACCTGGGTGGCTGTGGCTCAGAGGCAGAGCGGGTTGTTCCTTAATCGGAAAGTTGTGGGTTCGATCCCCAGCTCCTGGTGCCACATGTCGAAGTATCCTTGAGCAACATATTGAACCCCAAATTGCTCCCGATGCCATGCATCGGTGTGTGACTTTGCCATCACTGAGTGAATGTGTGTGAAAGGGTGAATGTTACTTAGTGTAAAAGCGCTTTGAGTGGTCAGAAGACTAGAAAGGCGCTATACAAGTACAGGTCCATTCACCATTACACCAACAATCCCCCAGTCCTGAGCGTCTGGGGCAGTACCGCAAAACCACAATACATTTTCTCTATCAAATATGTTCCAGTCTCACGAAAATTCTTGACTTAAGTGTTACGCACTTGTCCTGACCCAGACAAAAGTTACAGTGCAAGAACAAGCATAATGGGTGCAGAGTGGGAATTAGTCTCTTGCAGGCTTCTTTTAAGGGTTTGTGGAGCCTGAAATGTCCAATTTCACTGCAGCTTTTCTGAAAAATGACATTCCATATTGCAATGATTTCTATTTAGTTTAGCATTTTTTGCAATAAAATCGTTTTTGTATAATTCATAAAAAATTAAGGCAACTTGTTCTAGTGAGAATAAAATTGCTTGTAGTTTTGGTGACGTATGGCTCAATATTTTGCGATCGCAACATTGCAACTTCCTGGAGGGATGAGCTAAAACAGATTAAAATCAAAACTAAATAAAATAAAAATCTCGCCAGTATATTCCTTGCAATACAGCGGCCATGATGCTCATCTTCAAGTTTAGTCTTCTACTTGAAGTAGAAAGATCCTCTTATTTCTGACGTACAGTACAGAGCAACAGTCAAGCTCAGGAATGTGAAATGATTTCAGTGTCATGAGAAAAACTGAGTTTGATATGTGTATGAATGTTTCTTGGTACAGTTTGCGGCTACATTTCCATATCAAAGTGGCTGTCTCCTGCATCTCTCTCCTGTGCATTCACAACAGATAAGCATGGAGAAGAATGGAAATTGACCCTCCTCTGTGTCCAAATCAATCAGCGAGTGCTGCATTCATCAAAGTGATTAGACATCAATAACCAAATATGCTGCCCTTTGAAGTCTCTGCTGTGAGGAATTAATATATCAAGATGCAGTCACGGTTGCTATGCAACAGTAAGGGTTATCCTGACATCATGCTTGAGATGCAGAAATGTAAATTTTGAACTTTGTGTGTCAATGTACAGTATGTATTCCTGGTTGAGTGTTACAGTTACTGACAGATACACCATAGTTTTCTGAAGCATTTCTGAAGCCTTCTTTTCAACAGAGCTGTGAGTCCATAGCAATGCTTACAACACAGCAATGGATCCCAACATACCCACACAGCTTAGACCAAAGAACTCAAGTACCCCATCATCACCATTATGCTCCAAATGTGTTAATTTGAATTAATTTAAAGTTGGATGTATGAACCATTAATCATATTACAGTGAATGTAATAGTTAATGTTACATTATTTTTATACAGTTAAACCGTCAATGTTTAGTTTGGTCTGTGGTCAACCACATGGACTGGTAAAAGCTGGATGTTCCATTACTTCTACTGATCTATGTAAACAGTTCATCCATTATTTTTAGCCATTTTTTCTGCTCGCTTGCTAACTATTTTTCACACACTCTTAATTGCAATACCACCTAAATGGATTGCTATAGCCAGTGACGGCTGGTGGTGAGTTTGGGTGGGTGGGCTAACAAATGCATTACACTCATCAATACCTCAAACAGCAGCAACAGCAGCCACAGTAGCATCACATCAAGTTACAGCAACAACATTGTATACTTTATTATAGCAAATGCTCTCTCTCTCTCTCTCTCTCCCTCTGTACACATCAGCACATGCCAATTGCGCTATAACTACATTATAGAAAAGTACCAGCAACAATTTGCAACACCATGTACCAGAAATAAATCTACAAAACCAAAGCAAAAATAACAATATATGTAGAAGAGAGAGTTGTTTCAGAGCTTGGGCATACCTTATTTAAAAAGCAGCTCACATCGACGGCCTTTCTGTGCCGCAAACAGGTTAATCACCATGTAATGAAGTCTGCTGATTTTTGGATGAAGTCCCACTCAATGGACAGCATAGCCAGTGCGTTTAGCCTGTCCTGTCCCATTGTACTTCTAAGAAAGGATTTGATCCTCTTCAGTGTACTGAAACACCTCTGACTCTGCAGATGTAATGGGGGGTGTGATGGCGATTTGTGTTTAAGAAAAAGTGCTCCGAAGATTAAGACCAAGCAATGACAACTTTTTGCTATTTCCAATGTGGCTCGTGCTGCATTCATGTTTCCTAACGCCCGCCATTACTACGGTTGCTCACTTCCCTCTCTCCATGTTCTACTACGAAGCCTCACTGTACTGTGGCTACTGTGCTGTGATTGGTCAAAGGTCACTGTACTGTGGCTACTGAGCTGTGATTGGTCAAAGGTCACTGTACTGTGGCTACTGTGCTGTGATTGGTCAAAGGTCACTGTACTGTGGCTACTGTGCTGTGATTGGTCGAAGGTCATTGTACTGTAGCTACTGTGCTGTGATTGGTCGAAGGTCATTGTACTGTAGCTACTGCGCTGTGATTGGTCGAAGGTCATTGTACTGTGGCTACTGTGCTGTGATTGGTCGAAGGTCATTGTACTATAGCTACTGTGCTGTGATTGGTCAAAGGTCACTGTACTGCAGCTACTGCGCTGTGATTGGTCGAAGGTCTCTGGCCTTTGGGCTGAATTAATTTATCCCAAATGGGCAGCATATGAAGGGGGCGTGTCACGACACCTGTCAATCAAAATTGAATGGAAGCTTATGCTACTTTACTTGGGCTGAATACATTAAGCCCATTCACAGGAAAATCCCAAGACATATCATATATCCTGGGTTTTTTCTGTCACTGTTTGGTGCTGTGGCTGCTCTAGGTTCCACTGGGTGTCGTTTAAAAAATTACCAGTACCCCTTAAAATGATACCAATACCAATAGAGTACGTCACTGGACTTTTATCACGTTACTTGTATTCTCAGTTTTTTTCTTAAAAAATCCACATTTTATGCAATTACAGGTGCATATAACTTTAAATCATTTTGGTGGCATCTCTGCACACTGACTTTCCAGCTCCATCAAATACACCGTACTCCACTTCACCACTACAGATGCTCTGTAACTGATAGCTATACCTCCTTGCTGTAGCTGCAGTAGTGGCCCAGTCACACGTTGCATTAACTCAAAGAATGCTTGCAGTGATTGGCTCCAAGCAAAAACTATAATTAAATTAAATTTAAATTACTAAAAAAATATAATTTTTTCTCTACATCTGGGCACAAAAAAAGATCGAATGCAGGTCTCATTTCACAGGAGAGGTTATAATACTACTTGGTACTAGGTTATTTTGGGCAATAACAAAAGGTAAGGGTATAGAGTACAAATACCCAGTCCTAGTTGCTATGGTACCTGGGTCAGGTAAGAGGTCTTAGCAATACTGTTACACAAACGTCGTCACTGTGTCACCTAGTATTGTAGTAGTCAATGACATTTATCTCGTACACCTCAAAGAAGGAAACAAAAACAAATTTAAACGTTGCCCTGTATTCTCAAATGGTAATGATTGATCCACATTGTTCTATATGCATATGCAGCAACTGCCTGAGATGTAACAAAATTATATTAATTTTTTTTATTTTATTTGCGATATAGTCATTTGAGGAGCTCTATTCTGTAATGATTTCATCCCTGTCTCTCTCCCTTTATTACTCTGCAGACTCTCGACTATGAGACCAAGAAGTCATATACCTTCAAGGTTGAGGCGTCTAACGCACAGCTGGACCCCCGTTTCCTTCATCTGGGGCCTTTCAAGGACTCAGCGACAGTCAAAGTGAATGTCCTGGACATGGATGAGCCTCCTGTCTTCACCAAGCCCTCCTACTCTATGGATGTGTATGAGGACACTCCTCCAGGGACCATCATTGGCTCTGTGACAGCTCACGACCTGGATGCCAGCAGCAGCGCTGTCAGGTAACAAGGAATTCATTAGTCTGCTGCATATAGCCACGGTCAAAGTACACAGATAACTTTAACATTGTTTTAGTGAGATTTGAGATTTAGACTTTGTATTATTTAGTTTCCAGCCCTGGAGCCAGTTGCTCCAGCTCTTTCAGACTTAGTCTAGTACTAACAGAAATGTTTACTAAGTAGAGATTTAAGCATCATTATATTAAAATACGTTGCACCACACATACTAGTTCTTAACGATGAGTTGGTACTAAACCAATGTGGCTGCAAATGAAGCCAACACGGAAGTAACAAAAACTGCAGTTCCTCTAATGGCCACTTGAGGTTGGCTTCAAAAGTGAGTCAACTTCCATCAGGCTCCAACTGTACAGCAGATATGTAATGACTTTCTTGCTCTTTAAACGACGTCACCTGACTTTTGTTGTAAATCATTGTTTAAAGTGGACAAATGATCAGCCTACACATGAATTAGACAATGCATACAGGTAGTTCGAAAAATAATAATAACAACTTTGCTTTAAGATAGATAGATAGATAGATAGATAGATAGATAGATAGATAGATAGATAGATAGATAGATAGATAGATAGACTTTATTAATCCCCAGAGGAAAATTGGGTCATCATAGCAGCCAGGTACATTATAATACAATAAAATACAACAATAGAATAAAATACTTAGAAAAGATTTTAAAAAAAGATAAATAGGTAGGTAAGGGGCAAAGAGTTGTAATAATAATAATATTATATAATAATATTATAATAATATAATAATAATATGTGCATATAATATGATGACTGAACAGATATACATGTATACACATAGATATTATACATTAATATTGATATGATGTAAACATGTGTCATATATTCAGCCTGTGCAAGGTGTGCATACATACATACTGTGATATATATACACAATATATATATAATATGTACACATATATATAGATATACAAGATATACATACAATAGATAATATCTTATATATTGTTATATAATAATAATAATTGTAATATATGATATATAATAATAATATATTTTATAAATATGATATATAATATCAACATGGTTAATATCACACAATAATAACAATAACACATATCACATATGATAGTATATGATGAAGTATATGTTCCACAGGTAGATTTAGTCCAGGTCTGTGATTGTGGCTCTGACAGTGGAAGATGAGTTATAGAGTCTTATAACAGAGGGGAGGAACGATTTTCTATATCGTTCCTTAGAGCAGCGGGGATGAATGAGTCTGTTGCTGAAGCTGCTCTTTAGCTTGTCCAGTGTTGTGTGGAGGGGGTGGGAGGGATTGTCCATGATTGCCAGCAGTTTTGCCAGCATCCTCTCCTCCACCACTTCCTCCAGGGTGACAAGCTTCAAGCTAACAACAGACTCTGCCTTTTTAATGAGTTTGTTCAGTCTGTTGGTGTCCTTTGCCTTGATGCCCGCACCCCAGGACACTCGCCACAACAGACTGATAGAACATCCTTAGGAAGTAAAGCCGGCTCATGCCCTTCTTGTAGATGGCCTCTGAGTTTGTGGACCAGTCCAGTTTGTCAGACACACAGTTCTTCAATCTCACAAACTGCGGTCTGCCCGTCAGATAGTCATCGATGATAGTCGATCGATGAGGGGAGCACCCACCTGCGCGTTCTCCAGTTTGGCCTTCAGCAGTCTGGGCTGGATGGTGTTGAAGGCGCTGGAGAAGTCGAAGAACATGATGCGGACTGAGGTGTTGGGTCTGTCCAGGGAGGAATAGGCCTTCTGCAACAGGTAGATGATTGCATCATCAACCCCCACATGAGGTTGATATGCGAACTGCAGGGGGTCTTGCGATGCGCACACTAATGGTCTGAGGTGTGCCAGGACCAGTCTCTCCATAACTTTCATGATGTGAGAGGTCAGAGTCCCCAGCCTGTATTCCTCCAGTGTCACAGGACGTCCTTTTTTGGGCACTGGGACCAGGCAGGATGTTTGCCAGAGCACTGGCACTGTCTGAAGATGCAGACTGAGGTTGAAGAGGTGCTGGAAAACTCCACAGAGCTGGCTGGAACATGCCTTCAGTACTCGAGGGCTGATGCGGTCCGGTCCAGCAGCTTTCCTCTGTTTGAGCCTCTCCAGCTCTCTCCTCACCTGGCTGGATGTGAAGTGAAGTCCAGATTGGGGGGTGGGGTATGTTGTTTGTTCCCCCCAGCTTTAATTAGTTGTAACGTTCTACTGTGTCCAAGGTGAATATCATTCAGTCATTGTGCACACTAAATCTGATAGTCATAAGACAAAAGTAAACATTTAGATTGAACCTCGAGATTTAAAGTTAAAAGTGACAAAACAATCTCACCTCAGTTCATTTTGTAGTTGCTGTGGAGCTTTTGATCGAAAAGTCCATCAAGTGCTGTGAAAAAGGATAATTTGAACATTTACAACTTGGCAACTGCATTTAGGAGCTGAACTGAAGCTATTGATCATAAACTTGTTCAGCTCATGGACTTATTTGGTCAACTGTCTAGAAATGCTTTAGGTCAGCAGGATGCCTTGAGGGACAGAACTTGTGTCTAGGTCACCTACATTTTGACAGCACTCAGACACACAAGCACTGTAATTACGTGTAGGAAATGAAAGAAAATAGACCCGAAGACTTGAAAACACACGTGTATAGGGCTGCACAGCTAGCACTCTCCTGTGACACTGTTGTGGTGAAAGCATATTTTTCAACTTTAATTTCCAAGCATCCAGCACCCACCCAGTCAATGTAACTTTTTTGTCCTCTCAGGTGGACTCATGTGTACTGCTCTTATCTCTGCAGGTATTCCATGGAATGGCACACAGAGTCTGACAGCTGTTTCGATATTGACACAGTTGAAGGAACCATTTCCACGAATGAATACCTGGACAGAGAGACAGCTGTTCTGCACAATATCACCGTAGTAGCAACAAAAGTCAGTAAGTATTCCACATCAAGCACACACTGCCAAGAGCTGCTCATCCAAAAAGAAAACAGTGTCTGTGACATAGTATTATTACATTTATTAACCTCTTAAGACCTGCCCTAACTTAACCACTCCTGTCTAACCCTAACTCTATCCCTAACCCTAACCCTAAGCACATCGCCAGGTGCGTTTTAACAGGTTAAAATCTTATTGATGCTGTTTAGGGTTGCCATGTTTTCAGCACTAGCCAACCAATGTACTGACACTGTAACTGCCTCACTATGTAGTAGTTTTCATTGTTAGTGACAGAGTCTGCCTTCCCTCCATGCAATTCAAATTCCGCACCGATGCTCAATCCATGCAGAATTAATTGTTTAACCTTATATATATATATACATGTATGTAATGGAATGCTGTTTAGGAAATTATGATATATAATATGAAACTTGAATATTCAATATATTGGAATGACAGTCTGCTTGCTTGCTTCAAGACATTCAAGTCATGCCCATTCAAGGTGGAAGGGCACATGCCCCACCAGATTTTTGATATATAATATGTTATTATTGTCATTTTATATTCAGGCCCGGTTCTACGAGGGGGTAAACATAAAAATGCTCTTTTAGTAATAATTAGTATGTATCTCACCTCGTGTGGTCATATAGCTCAGTAATTAATGTTACACAACAGCATTTGCATTGCATTGTGTTTCATGGATAAAACATGAGAGACATGCTACGTTTGCCAAAACAGAAAGTTGGATGAGGCTATGATTAGCCCTGGTAACCAGATGTCTCCGTCATAAAAAAAGCAGAATATTTAGTATATCTATCCGTACTGTCTTCCGTTTTGTCATTATTAGAAGTTGGTTCATTGACATAAACAGTAGGTGGCGCCAATTCTTCAGAAAAAGGGGGACACAACAAGAAAAGTTAATGCAAAAAACAGGATGGAAATATGAAATTTGTGTTAGTGTGATGTATAAATATGAGGAAGCTCCCATCAGATCTGTGTGCAGAGATCATGGATATATTATAGAGCCATGGGAGCGATGAGGAGCAAAAACACCACATCTGTGATTTGAGTTAAATGTTTACTACGTCAGAACTTATTTAGAAAATGTCTTTCCATCTCCTATTAAAAGCATTAACTTTTTAACATAATACACGCAATAGCCACATAATAGCCACCTCTTTGTAAAATGGAGGACATTTTTAAAATTTGGAATCTTTTCTAATCTGATACTTTCAAAATATGCTGATGGAAATACAGATAGTGTTTATTATTTCTCATTAAGAGCCATTGGAAGTCACTGATTGTTACCATGGGACCATGGCTCTTAGTTCTAAGTTAGCCTGTGGGTATGCAAGCTAACTTTTTAGGCTTTAAATAAGTCAGTCTGACTTGCATTAGACTAATCAAAGACACAAATTAAGACTACAGACCAGTCTTATGCAGCTACTATTAATAGACTCACTACAGGTGGTCAAAACCTATAGGATCTCTGGTTGACAGCAATGAGGTTGACATTTATTTATTTTATATCTAGCCCAAAATCGCAAGGTTAAATGTAGGAAGGGATACAGGTTCATCATTTGTGTCCATGCCTCTATTTATATGCATTGGTCGACTTCACCGTTCTCCCAGGATGTTCACAGGATGTGAGTACTCATTGCTGTGGGGAAGGAGAGTAAGTCCAAACTTTGAAGTAAGAAATAAGTCCAACCTTCAAAGTTTAGACTTACTCACCCAATTTTGAACACTGTCACTTGTGCACTTAGATAACTCTTAATCCACAAAATGTATTCTGGTTTGTATGTTAAAGGCCCCACCAATGTGTTTGTAAGTCCAATTCCTGAACTAACAGGGCAGCTGTGGCTCAGCGGGTAGAGAGGGTTGTTACTAATTGCAGGATTGGCGGTTTGATGCCTAGCATGGGTGCTGCCACTGCTGGGTAATGTGCATGTGTGAATGATAGGCAATTTGTAAAGCTATTTGGATAAAAGTATGATATAAATGTAGGCCTGTTGACTAGAAAGCATGTATAATGGTACTTTTCCCTCATCGTAAAGGTTTAGGGTTTTTTTATGGATCACTCAATGCGTTGTACACTATATGCCACACTCACCCCATTCATACACACTCATACACCAATGCACAGCAATTTGGGTTTCAGTGCCTTGCTCAAGGACACTTCGACATGCAGCAAGAAGAGCCCGGGATCGAACCACCAACCTTCCGATTAGTGTACCCGCTCTACCTCTGAGCCACAACCGCCTGCTGTGTACACACCCTTGATTAGTGTGCCAGCTCCTCCTACCAAATTTGCATATTGAGAATGGGGCAGCATCGAGCCAAGAGCACATATTAATACCATGTGTGAATGCAAAAGCCTGTGGGGTTATTATCCATCATCCAGATACAGATTAAATATTAATACTACAGTAGGTGGAAATGTGGTCTAAAACTAATGCAGACTCAATGTTCAATGGAGCATGTAAAATCTTTGTTTTTGAAAAACAAATGACGCTTTTAATCATATCACAAGATCTCTGTTTGCAGATGGAGTTTGTCCAGTTGTCATAAAAAAACTGGTATTTCCAATTTTTCTGAGCCGTCTGAGGAGGTTTCGTCCATGTTGGCTTAAAAGCTACGGTTGAAAGTTCATTCTTAAACTGCCGCAAACCTCAAACAATGTCGCCACATAACTGTTCTAGTTTTTGATCATACTACAAATCACTTTAGCTGTTTTCATCTACTAATAAAGGTCTTATGGTAATAAGTGTAATCAACCGTGTATTTATTTCAGGCCACTTGCCTGGAGTGAACAAATATCAACAATTAGTGCACGCTACAACATTTAATGTACATACTGAAAGTATTGATACATTATCAAAACATATTAAAACAAACCCTTGCAACTGTTTAAATTCTGTGTTAAGTGTTCAGTTGCATACTGCTGTCCTCCTCTCTCCCCCATTCCTCTGCACGTTTGGTTGATTGGAGTGCAGCTGCAGCTGTGGTGGAAACTAAATTTAGTAAATTTGAGCAAGCAGCTTAACTCATGCAGACTGTGTATGCACCATATGATTTCCTCCTGTAAGCTCCTTGAGGAGGCAAACGGTTGCCGAGTCACAAATCTGCCAAGCCTCCTCATTAGACAGAGCAACAACATAAACCCTCGGAGTCCCTCACCGTCCCTTATAGAGAGAAACACAGGAGTTTGTGAGTTAAATGGTTGGATGATCCAAAATGATTGAAGAAGATTGTCTGACAGGGGTTTGAGGTGAGGTTAAAAACACACAAACAGCTGGGCATCATGTGAACGGTTGATGAGTGTCTGACTCCATCTAGTGGCCAAATCTGATGTTTCCAACAGAATCTGAACACAGCAGCAGCATTTTAAACTTTGGCTAAATAATATGTGCAAGTGTTTCAGACATAATTTGGACATAACTAAATGTTGAGATGTAAAGAAATGTTTGAAGCCCCTACTTTTTTAAAGCCCCTTGCAGCCAGTGTTTATTTTTGTTCCTACAGTGTGCTGTTTGAATGCTGTATATGCAGAGTTTGACACTAGAAGGATGTTTTCACATTCATCTGCTGAAAGTTTAAAGTTTCTCTGTGCTCATTGAAAATCTGATTTTAAGGGGCGGGGCCTAGCAGCAGGATTAGTGACACAAATAGTTAGGAAGTCAGTCCTGGTCCAGTATGCAACTTGTACAGTGTGATGTAGAAACTTGAAGCCACCAGTGCACATCCACTGAGAATGGACTTCACAGTGAAGTAGGAGACATCTTGTGTCCAGCAGGGAAACTAGAAATCAACAACATTTGCATATTCAGAGATTCTGGAAGTTTTAATGAGGTAGTAATTTTCTGTGCTGGACTTTGTATGAATAGACAACAAACCTATATGAGATCCAGCTGGAACTGTGACAGGCACTGGGTCATCATCTTACATCTCATTGTCATCCTCTCTTTCTCTCCATCAGCTTGTCATTCTCTCATTTTTCTCACTCTGATCTTCACCCCTTACATTCACTTCTTCTCCATCTTACTGTTACTGAACTCTTCTCTCTGTGAGTTCATCTCTCTCCATCACTTCCTCCAGACAATTATTTAGCATTTTTAATAAAGCTGAAGACATATTGTAGTTTCTTTTACCCTTACCTTACAATTTCTATGAGTAGGGCGGATCAAGTCAAGGTGTGAAAGGATCGCTTGGTTAAGATCTGTGTTTTATGTGCTTGGTAACACAGTAATGGCTTTTTCAGTCAGCTAAATTATTCTCACTTTGACAGTCAATGGTGCATTTGTTTTTTTTTGTGCAGACTCATGATCACATCTCAAATCTATGTTGGAGAAACTTTTAACACTTTTAAATATGTTTATTGTGAAAAATGTTGTGAATAAGCTGTCAGCCTCAACATTCACTAAGCATTACTGATTCAAATGCAACATAACACTGTTTAACACTCAAGAGGTGCACCTGTGTAAGATTTGGTTAACTCTAACACAAACACACACACAGTCCTGAGGAAGCAGATTAGCTCATGATACCCAAGGATGTTTTCTTCCAAACTTAGCTTTGATGCTTATTGAGTCATGAATATGTAAAAGGTAACTTCAGTATATTTCAACCTGGACCCTATTTTGCCATACTTTTGTGTCTGAGTGACTAATGGGGACAACAACTTGCAGCTGGCAGCCACGAAACTCGCTCTAATGTAATCCCTAGGGGCAATTGTACACCATCAAAATACGTCCACTAAAAGTGCTTGTTTTTTTTACCACTGACAGGCTCAGATTGTTATTCTAAGTGTCTGAAAACATAATGGCAACTATCCCTACAGTGAAAGAGCATTTTGCTAAAGAGTAAGATCCTTGTTGTATAACCAGAAACAGTACTCATATTGCAATGTTCTAAGCCAGACAAAAACAGTCATTTTACTAGCTCATCGTACATTCAAACAACCTAATAGACAGAATTTGATAGAAACAAAATAAAACTCACCAAAACCGTCTTGGTTTGTCTTTCTACCGTTCCAACAATCAGCAACTTGTGTGAATGTTGGTGAAATAGTTTTTTTTGTCAATGGAGTCTGGTGGCTTTGAACAGAGTGATAGAACTGCTGTTCTATAAGGCTCCTACGCATTCATTTCATAAAAAACTCTATCTCTGTAGGGATCCTTTCCATAATGTTGTCAGACACTTAGAATAATAATCTGAGTCTGTTAGGCAGAAACAACAACTTTTTGTGGATGTACTTTGACGGTGCGTAATTACGCTCACGTTTTACTACTGCTGGCTACAATACTGGACCAGTTTCAACACATTTGGCACTTATGGAAATAATAATAAAGTTATCCTTTAATATTAAAGAGAATACCTAGATTTGTTTTCAGAGGCTTTAATGTAACTTAATGCATAAAACTAACATCTCTGTTAAAACCGTAGATTGTCAGTGTACTAAATGACACACAGGGTGTACACTATCTTTTTTTTAACCTTTATTTATTCAGGGAGGGTTCACTCAGAGGAAGCCTATCTTTTGCAGGAATGCCCTGATCACACTCACACCTGGAAGCAGCTCAGTACAACCACAGTCTGATCCACTGGCCACTGAGCTCCACTGGAGCAGTGGGGGTTAAAGGCCATGCAAGTCCTGCTCCTTCACTTAACCCACCCAGATTTATCCTGTCCCTAAACTGATGACCTCTCGGTCACAGGCTTGCTTCTCTAACCTTTAGGCCACCACTGGTCCCACTTTAGGCTGTGTCACTCATATATGACCTCACCTGACCCTTACAGACAACCCGCTGCTGTCTGCCAAAGTGACGGTGACAGTCAACGTCCTGGATGTAAACGAGTTCCCTCCTGAGCTCGCGGTTCCCTCAGACACCTTCGTCTGTGAAAACTCCAGAGTCGGACAGGTAAACTGAACTTTATTTCTCTATATTATATTAAATATTTGTTGGAGCTTTATTATTTAAATGTTATGATTCACTGTGTCAAGATCTGAGTTACCTAATGTTGTTGTCCTTCACTCTCGTATGATCAATTCAAATAGTTCCAATACTCTTATTCAGATAAAGACTGGGTGAAACAGTGCTGCATGGACCCCCAGAATAGGGAAGGGGAGAACATTTCATTTTTCCTTGATGACATTTGCCCTGCCTGCCTGCTAAACAGACTCTCTCTGTTTGCTCCCTGACCAGGTGATCCAGATAGTCAGCGCTGTGGACAAGGACCTCCCTCCTGTCGGCCAGAGGTTCTTCTTCAAGTCCCCCAAAGAGCTTCGCAACAGAAACTTCACTGTTCGAGATTTTGGAAGTAAGTAAAGGAATAAAAGGGAAGAAGACCATGGTTACAAGTAGTTGTATTGTATTGTGACTACTTTACTTCATTAGCAAAGTACAAAGTATTTTTGCAATAACAATGTATCAAATGACAAAACAATGTGACAATGTTAAAAAGGTGTTATGCAGTGACCCCTTTCACATTGGCTGGTTCTTTTCACCTGACATTGCTGACAACCAGCAGAAGTGCAGCAAAGAACAGAAAATAATGAGAATCTTTGTGAGCTTACAATTTATGGACATTACCAGAAATCAGACTCTGGTCTTGTGGTTTTTACAACATATCACACCATGAAATTCTGCTTAGACCATTTGGTAACAGTTTTTATTACAAAAAGAAAACATTTGCTGCTATTTAACATTTTATACTACCACTCCCTTCCCTGCTGATTGAAGAGTGCGCCTGCCTCTGTTGCATCTGGAACGTTGCTGTGGGACGATCAGCTTTAACAAATCTTCCCCTGACATATTCTGTTTCCCCCTGCAACACCTCACCAACGAGCATTGTTAGATTTTTGTACGCTTGTACTTATACAGACAGCATCACATTTGATAGAGTCAGACACGCAGGCCTACAGCCACTAAGGGGAACTGGAGCGTGTGTGTCTGTGTGTGTGTGTGTGTATAACAGGAACAAGGTGCCTTAATGGTCTCTACCTTGTCAAGCTACATCTCTGTCCAGTGGAGGGAGAATGGATCTTTTCTGACACACGCACACACACCTACACACACACACACACACACACACACACTAAAACTGTGTCTTCTTTTTTTTCCGATTCTGTGCTCTCTGTATATGCTGCACCTCATCTTTTTGCTCTCATGTGGAATATTAAAGTCACTCCATGACTGATTTGTAACTGTCTGTTGTGAAACTGTTTGTCTGACTGCTTTCTTTCATCAGTCTTCATTGCAGCAATGTCAGCATGTTTCCAGCTCTCAACAATCATTCCTTGCTAAGTCCCGCCTCTTTTTGGTCTCTGCTCAGTTAAGCAAGCCTCAGTCAGAACCTCGACAACCACATTTTGAGGATGATTAAAAGATAAAAACTACCTATAGGCTATATAGTCACATCTTAATTTAGCAAATGTTAGCAAAATGCTAGCTAACTAGCTTGCTAATCTACATATTTTGTCTACCTGCCCAGGGACAACAGATGCAAATAAGCTGTTAGCTAACTCTGGTGCAATTACTTTAATTCTGTGTTGTCCCTGTAAAAATAATCAAATAAAAAATAAATAAACAAAACATTAGCTAGCTAGTTACAGAGTTACAGAGCAAAAGTCTAGCTAATCTACATCAGTCTTTATAGCTAGTTACATCTGAAAGCTAATGTCAAAAAATCTCTGGCTAGCATTTTGCTACAGAGCACAGTCTAGTTAACTAACAAGCTAATTAAAGTCAATCATTAATTTCCACTCCCTCATTAAAAGTTAGCTTTGTTTTGCTAACGTTAGCTAAATTAAAGATATTTTGGGGGCTTTTTATGTCTTTATTTGATAGGACAGGTGGAGATAGAACGTGGGCCACTGCAGTAAGGACTCAGCCTTCACACTTCGGATGTGACTTTAAATGTTGCTATTAACTTTTAACCATCCTCAAAATGTTGTAGTCTTTTCAACATAAAGCCTAGCACAAAAGGGGGGGGGACTTAGGAACCGTAAATTATCTTGGAGAGAGTACAATTTTATAATATTCAATACAAATGACTTCCAAAAGTACAAAGTACAGAATTTTCTTTGACATCTAATTCTTGGTGGTAATATCCTCCACCATGACAATAGTTATTTAATTTGCTTTCTAGATGCTTCTGAGTTTTTCAGATAATTGCTCACATGAATAAAATACTTATAACCTTCTAACCACAATTCTTTCAGTAAGCACTTGCTGAGTGCACTTCTTGGAATCTAAATAACCTGCTTCATGCACACACACAAAACGTGTGTCTGTTGCCCCAGTGGGAAGGCATTAGTTTGCGGAGATACGGAACAGGCAGTAGTTTGACATTGAAACAGCACAGTAGAAAGTAAGCGGGGTGATGCACTGACCTTCAGCTCTGACAACCAATTTTTTATCTGTGCGACAAAAACTTTTCTACTGAAAAAATAGTCCTACCTACAACCCTGTCTCTTAGGAATGTTGTTTAGGCCTACATATTACTAAATCATTTTCCAAATTATGTTGTGATGACATTGCTGGCAGTCAATGTTTTTTTCTGAGTGAATTAAGTGTTTCCTTATTGTGTTGCCATAAATCATAACCAGGCCAGTACAAAAATGAATTTTTCTAAGAGACAGGTTGCATCAGAAGGTTATTCAACAGTAAGGGAACCCTAAAACAGAGCAACTTACCAGGTATTTTGACAGATTTTTCCATGCAGGGACATATATGTCTTCTGGGCTTTCTAATAATAATAACTGAAACTTGAATGTTGTCTTGGCTTTTTGTGGAACATTTCATGTCATCAGTTTTTCAACAACTTAATCCAGTAAAGTAGTTTCCCTTCTGTAAAATTTAAAGCCAGTGTGTAGAATTTTGGAAGATTTCTGACAGTTATCTCAAAGTAAAGTTCATGGACCAGTTTTTGTCATCATCTTGGACTGTGGTTGGACTGTGGTATCTGGTTCTCAATTAATGGTTGAGGCTGATCAGATTTACTTAGCCTCCTAACAGTGGCTGTGAACTGTATTATTATATCAAAATTAAGAATGTGAACATTACAATTTGAAACACAGCTAAGGATTTCACAAAGACTGTATGATTGTTGGTCATCAGTTTCACCTGGGAGTGCTTCTAAATGTCTGTAAAACTAACCTCTATGTGTGAAACTTCCATTTGAGTCTGTGCCACTGAAAGATTTTAAAGTCTGGTGATATTCCATATTTTTCTTCCTCTCATCAAATCCCATGTGCAGTGCCAAACCAACAATGACTACATCTATCTCATTCCTCTGAACCATGAGAGCACTCTCTAGGGAAGTCAGGAGAATGTGGTACACATTGGTGGTTTTGGTCTTCACATGGGACATTATGAGAAATGTATAGAATACTGCTAGCCTAATCCTTCAGTTAACTGTAAATGTAATGTAATTTTTAAAGTGGAAAAGCTAACACTTTAGCTATGCTTATACTACATGCATTCAACTGCTTGTGCCAGTGAATTCTTGGTATAACTTTCAAGAGGTGATCAGATATATCAGATGTTGGTGTGACAGCAGTGAGGCAGTGAGAAAAATGACTGTCAGTGATGTTACACCATCCTCTCATGGTTTCCAGACAACACGGCTGGCATTGTGACTAGACGCTCTGGCTTCCAGCGGCGGCTGCAGGACGTCTACGTTCTTCCAGTTGTGGTTGAGGACAGCGGTTACCCTGCCCAGAGCAGCACGGCCACCCTCACCATCCGAGTGTGTTACTGCGAGGCAGGAGGCTTGCTGCTTACCTGCTCTGCGGAGGCCATCTTCTTGCCTGTGGGCCTCAGCACTGGAGCTCTGATGGCTATTCTGCTCTGTGTAGCTCTGCTGATTGGTAAGATCTTTCTTCTATAACTACAACACATTCAAACACAAAAACACTGTTTGGTGTGAGACAGATTGGTGACAGACCGTCTTGAGACATGTAAGTATTTCTTTTAGGTCTATGTACTGTGACAAATCTTTTGGTTCTGATTGCTGACTGCCATGCACTTAATTAAATTACATGTTTCTTGGCTCTGATTGGACAAAAAGCTGTTTTTAGTGACCTACTGCAGCTTTAAATAGTGAATTATTCATATAGTTTACAATTTCAAAATGTGTTTCTGTTACAGCCTTGTGACCTCTAAAAGAACATTCTTCCTATAGTAATTTGAAAGGTTTCTGGCCCACAGCTGATGATGAGGCATTTTACTAGGGAATTAAAGCATGTGCTTTAACACTAGAGGGCAGCAACAAGCCATGACACACATCATATAATTATCACAGAGAGCAAAAAATAAGTAAACCAGGAAACCAGCCTACCACTTAATTTTTGCTTCTGTTACAGAGAATTGCATAACCGCCTATCCAACCAGAAGTGATAACACTCACAAACACAGCTGTCATTTTGTGTGTGTACTTGTGTGTGTGACATTACACATAAAAAAATTAAATTAACGCAGTTTTGATTAAGTTCTTTATGCTGCTCTCACCAACTAATTCCCAATAGTGAGAGATGCATTTAGGTCTGTCTCAGTGTGTGAGTGTGTGAGTGTGTGTGTGTGTGTGTGTCTATGTGTTTCTAGGTGTGTGGTTGTGTGTGTCGACTGATTGTATGTCCTGAGGGCATTGTGCTTTCTTTATTGGTATCCTCTGTGGAGAGGGAGGATGACTGAAAGAGGACATAAAGAAGGAGAATGGAGGATGGGCTAATAGCTGCTAACACATAACATCCACCTTTTCCTCATGCCGGACAGGGAGAGACCTTTCCTCATATATATCAGGATGGCAATGTGACACTTTGCTGTAGAGGAAGCTGGGGGCGTGAAGGAATCCCGTCGTGGTGTTAATTACCTTCGTGTGTGACTAACGTGACATGTCTAAAAGGAGTCAGTCTTGCCAAAGAAGGTTCCCTGAAAGAGAGATACAGTGGAAAACTGCAACTGAAGACATTTTTAGAAAGCTGAGTATCTTCCCTAGGGAATGCCCCTTGGCAATCCCTATTGTTTTATTAACTTTCTGTTAGCTCTTGTTACCTTCAGGGCAACACTAGAGTAGTCAAGTGGCTATGACCAAGATAAAACACAAAGATCCAGACAATAGATGTTTTTCCCAGCAGCCATTTTGACATGTAAACTCAAGTGTTAGCGATGATACTAATTAAGGTTCTGTTCCATTCAGGTCAAACAGAGGATGCTTGAATCGTTAGCTATGTTGGTTAACTGGACAGGCTCTTTTACACTGAATGGAACAGAACCTTAAACAGTATCATTGCTAACCTGGTTTACCCTACTATTTAATGTCAAAATGGCTGCTGTGAAAAGTGTCTATTGAAGGCCATTAGGCCTGCACTGAAGTACTGTAAAAATAAGTTTCATTACAGATCAGTCTGTGGGTTATTTCTTGAGTTATTAGTGAATCATTTTGTCAATAAAATGTCAGAAAACAGAGAAAAATGCCCATCACGATTCCCCAGAGCCCAAAATAACATCTTCAGATTGCTTTCTTTGTCTGACCAACGGTCCAAAACCCAGTATATATAGTCAGTATACAGTGATGTAAACAGGGATGGGAATTGATAAGATTTTATTGATACCAATCCCGTTAATGATTGGTGCTTGGTCCAATTTTTTACCGATTGCCTTATTGATTCTGGATCAATTTTCTGTGTGGACAAAATGTTATAATAACAGGATATTTACCCTAAGTAATGGGCGTGCTGTTCAGTCGGGAAGAAGTGGCACTTGTGCGTAGAATTGTCAGATACATGGCTTCCCTGGTATTTAAGCCCATGTTGTGTAGAAAGATGTTTCAGCCTATTGCTGGTGTTTCCATCCTGACTTGAAATAATCATTTTACAGAAATTACAGCTAGCACTGTTGTGTTCTTTCTTCCTGAAATGAAACCATGCTTTGGTCCATTTCTTCCTCTCCACCATGACGCCCTCTTGTTGCAAAGTATGAAAAGGAATTGATAAACTCGGATGCACATGATTCCGATGGATTGAACAATTTGGAACCAGTTTTCGATTGCTATCCCTAGATATAAACCAGCGAATAGCAGCCAATTCTCACATTTGAGGGGCTGGAACCAACCAGTGTTTGGCATTTTAGCCTGATAAATGACCTAAAAAGATCATTAACTTATTTTCTGTGTGTCACTATTCTATTCATTAAGTACTTGTTTTAGCACTAGATAATGATAAACGGACAGGACAGAAAGAAATATATGTACAAAAGCCACAACAGTTGGAATAAAATGGATAAATGTGGACAAGATTGACAGAAAAGAATGAAAAAGAACGTTTTAAGTAGGGATTTTAAAAGATGACTGACTCCTGGGGCAGGCAGTTAAAGCTCCAAGTATAAAAGCCGATTAATTATTTTGATTTTCTAACAGGATTTTGACACTGCTAGAAAGGTGTTCTCTAATTCAGACTTACAAAGGCTCAAACGGTCTCAGGACTTTGGGACCAAACTTTGCTGACCCTTAAGGAGTATGGCATTAAGACCAATCCTGAAGTTAGCAGGAGGCCATTGTAGGTAACTCTGTCACATAGTCTGGGCTAAAAGGGCTGCAGCTCTTTGGGCGACAGCTGCTGAAGTTACAATAATCCAAGCGTAAAGAACAGAGACATACGTGACCTTTTCCAGATCAACAGAGAAGAGGCAAAGTTGAGCTTTTGAGGTCTTTATTAGCTGGAGGTAACATGACTGAACTACCTTTTTTACCTTGTATGCAAAGTTAAAATTTGAATCAAACACTATGTGAAAGATTAAACCAATTCTACAATGATTCAAATCAAGTGCTAGAGAGCAAACAATCCCTAAAGCATTATTATGGTTTATTACAACTTGGGTATTATTTTTGTAGCTATAGCCATAATTTCGGTCAGTAATCATATTACCCACCAAAAAAAATCCTGACATCGTATCAAACATATATACAATGAAGCCAGAAGCAGACAAAACAAAACCAACCAACATTTTCAAACTGTCAAACTGAACGTTAGTGCACCTAATACTTCTCAAAAGCTGCAGTTGGTATTGTTTTATAAAATGGCTTGAATATTACAATCGTCATATTTTGTCATAAGTTATTTTTATAGAAGTTACCTACCGCAGCTTTAACCACATTACTCAATCGTACAATCTTATTTTTTCAGAGAGAAATTATGGTCGAAAGTGATACCCAAGTTGATATTAACCACAGTATTAATTCTTTAAAAGGCATGCAATGCACCATTCAAAGTTGGCCCCTCCTCCCGGCCTGAGCGAGCCAGAGAGAGTACTTTTGCAGTTAATCAGAGAAATAAAATATTATTATCAGCAGCACAATTAGACACAGCCACACAGCAGCACAATCCTGCGTGAAGGAGCCATATTTCTGGATTTTGTCTGAATGCAGCTGAAGCCTTCGGTCAAACAGGCATTGATACACAGACCTAAAGCTTATTATGCAACAACAGTGTAACCTGCTCGCTGCTTTTTATAGTCCTTTAGAGTCCTGACCTCAGGGCTGCAGGGTGTCTGCAGATACAGACACCACTACACACTTCTAGTATTAGGGGCATTATGTTTGTATGAGTCTATACATTGTTTTAAAGAAATTCCTGCGTAGGGGTTAGGGTTAAGTATGATCACCTTAAAGAAGTTACCTGGGTTTCTGGATAGACAGCAGAACAGACTGTTTTATCCATGTAGAAATGAACATTGTTAAAAATATCTCTGTGCTTTCATATGTCATCATCAAGGTATAGGCTTTTGTAAATCTAAACCAAAACTGACCTGTGGAAAACCTACTTGAACCCTATGTGCATTCGTTAATTTACAAAATAAGAGACCTAATCCAAAAGAGAACCAAGTTAGATTACATCCGAACAGAATATATGCAGAAAAAAACTGCGTTGGATTAGCATAAAGTAGGAACATATGTAAAGGTGAGATATGGATACTCATAGAACCCATTTTCATTCAGATATCTTGAGGTCAGAGGTCAAGGGATCTCTCTGAAAATGGCCATGCCAGTTTTTCCATTGCCATAATGTGACTTAAATTTGGATTATTGACATGCTAGCATGACATGGTTGGTACCAATGGATGTGTTAGGTCATCTAGTTTCATATGATACCAGTATCTTCACTAGCTCTGAAACGGAGCCCGCTACAGACTCTGAAAGACACGTCTAAGAGGTAAGCATATTGGTGTGGCACTAAGGGTGGCCAATCTGATCAGGGGCAGCCAGTGCCAGGGCAGGGCTCCCCTCTGGAATTACCCCTGGCTACAGGTATTTAAAAAAATCCAAAAAAGAAATAATCTTACACACATCAAGCCTGTGGACAACAAACAAAACATCAGTAGGGGAGAATGGGGTAAGATGAGCCATTTTTCATATTTAGGATCACTACATCAAGGCAATCATAGTTTTGTCGCTAACTAATATCTCTGCATATATTTCAGGGTGTTGTGCATCCCTTCAAACAAACAGAATGAGTGTAAACATGACTGTTGTGATAATATAGCATGTCGAAAAAAAGAGGTCTCGTGGCTCAACTTAAGTTGAGCATAGGAGCGGGGTAAGTTGAGCCAACTTACCCCAGAGCTACCATTTTGACTTTATTAGGCCTCACAGCTAAAATGGTGCACTTTTATGCTAGGTTTATGAGCTCATGTTGTAGCTCATAGATACCACAACTGATCTGATCTATTTTGGTCTAAACACAATTCTCATGAAACTTATGATAGACTCAATTCACTTTCAAGAGTGAAAAATGATTTTTTGGAAATAAATATCGAACCACTTTACCCATGTGGTTCTTACATTCACAGACTCCATGAAATGATGCCTTCCTCC